GTGTATGATTATATTTCTAATATTATATGATTAATATTTAATATATATGCATTCAAAGGGCTATTAGGCTGATGAAAGTTGTTTCAACTTCGGGCTCAATCAAAATCAAAATTAGAAACACTTTGCTTTTTTTTAATGTACAACGCATTTTGCAGGTTACATATTTTTAAATAATTTTTATAATTATAATCTAGTATAATATGTATTTTTTCTAGATATATATAATAATATTGGTAACACATAATTAAATTTAATATAAATTAACTAGAAAAATAAATACTTCGTTCTTTTAAAAACAAATGCACGTACAACTCAAAATACTTTTAAAAAATACGAGAGAATAAAACTTTGATATAACTACTATAAGGCAATAAAAATTATACGACCTGCAAAGTGTCTCGCGTCTATATATTTTCACACTATTATTCGATCCATTATCTTAATAATAAAAGACAAATTAAACTAACTCACCGATCGATGCGCAGCAGCGGAGTTGTCGTTCTGTTGATCTGCATAGTTGATCTGTAAAACACGAAATAAATCAAAATTATAGCAGCGTTCACAATATGAAATATTTGTGAAATCATAAAAAATATTGAGTACATTGAACTTTTAATTCGTTTTCTAAGCAAATATGTAATAAAAGAATTATTAAAAAAGTTTAATTATTTAAATAAAAAGTAAAAAAATATGCAAATAAATTTTAATAATGATAAATATTAACTAATGTAAATATTTTGTCCTTCAAATATTTTAATGTACAATATTTTCAACAAATAAATGAATTATTGCTTACCATAAAGTTGCTCCGCCGGCGCCCGATGCTCCTCCTGAGCCTCCTCCTCCTCTCAGTGGTCCTTCGAAGCACTTACACTGAATCACACGCGTTCGCGGCGCATGCATTGCTCGCATGCGTACCTGAATACGAAAATCGCGCGATACTTAAAACGGCACTCCCGACATCACAGGCGAATCGAATCGAATTGTCCAAGCTGTGACGTTACGCGCGAATTCGTCCGCGTTTCAGACGACCACATTTATCAATTGGGGCACGATTCTCTCAAAACAGAGGGCAAAGGTAAGCTCGAAGAAGATGAGGTGATTAGTCATCCAATCAACCGACTAGATACAAGACATCTGAAAAGCAATCGGTAGCGTTTGACTAACTCCGGTAGCCGTCCTCGACTACCTTCGACAGTCCGGCTATCTGTACAACTAGCGCGCTGCACGTAGAACCGAAGATTGCCCTGCCGTAGTGGAGATTTTATGATTGAAACCGACCTTTCCCTCCCCCGACGCCAAGCCTAAAGTCAAAAAAAATCGTGTCCCAATATTTGTCATACAGCAAAATGCGTTCATCTATAGATTCGCTATAACTCTCGGCATTAACGGCACTCCCAACGCGCATTTTATTATACTATACGACGGAACGAATATATTTTGTAGCACCGATTACGCGCACAAAGTTGATCTGTAAAATAAAAAATAAATGCAGATTAGTGTTTGAAATAATTAATATTTATAAAATAATTACTGCGCACACATTCGCGACACGAATTATTAAATCGCATGGCACTTTAAACGAAACTCCCGACGCGCATTTTATATAATTGCAAAATTACGGCGAAATGATATTACAATGATTACATGATATTTTGGACGACACTCCCGACGCGATTTTGTCATATTAGGACAAAAGTAAAACTCGTATATCGCTCGCACGGAATACGCGTTCGACACCCCACCGCGTACGCAACAGGTAACAATTAGGAGGGGGAGGAAGGTGGAAAATTGTAAAGAGTAATAAGAATTGAAGTAGAGGGGATAACGCGCCGATACGCGAAACGGTCTGTCTCGTTCAAGTGCCGCCGTGCGAATAGTAAAATCTAGCTCAAGCTCAAGGATAAGGTCAAATTGGGAAAAGTACTATTTGGAAGAAGTAGGGAAAGGAATGTATACATGCCGATCAGTGTGTGCAAGAGAGAAAGTGTGAGAGTGAGGAAGAGAGGATATAAAGTACGTAGGTCACAGAGCGAACGTAAACAACCCCCCCCTCCATGCCGTGAATCAGCGTCGAAATTCCTAATATGATATACTTACCATATTTTCCACATTATAAGATATTCTTTGGTGTTCAGAATTTTAATTTTGATAAATAATTTACTATTTTATTTTTTGCCTACTATCGTATTATATATTTTGTATCGTATCGTATTTTTAAAATTTTTATCTGTAGATTTGTCAGCGTGATCCAATATAAAAATTAATTTTACTTGATTAAAATTCCGCGTTTTAAAGCTTTTTGAGCGTTTTTCTATTTCGTATTATAACACAAATAAATAAATATACGAATAAAAATTAAATTAATAAATGCCCACGCAATGAAAATGTCACGAAACACGTCGCTTTGCGTGAACACGGCTGCCCGCGCAATAAATTTCGATGAAATAAATCTTTCGAAATGCGCGATTTAATCAATGTACAATGCAAAATTTATGTTACACAATTCTATTTATTGAGATATAATTTGTATTTTCCATTTTCTATTACCTATTTTAAGTAAATTAATTGCGCAAAATTCCTTCTTTTATGATAGATAGATACTCGATGCTTGAATGTTTATTTATTCGTGAATGTTGATTTATATTTATTTAAAATTAAATTGAGGTAATAAAGGATAAAAATTACAAAAAATTAATTTTGATAGTTATAAATTTGTATATAAATAATTCATTATTATTCATTCCATTAATTATTATTTCGGTATTCGTTATTCTTTATTCTATTAATTATTATAATAACAGTTTTTTGAAGACAAGTTTAATAATATATCTTATATGATACCAACGTGTCATAATTTAAAAAAAAATTATAAAACGTTATGCGTTATTTAGATTAAAAATTAAATTAAATTTTATTAATAAAAAATAAAAGTGAAGTGTTTCAGTCTAGTAAAAAGGTATGCCATATGGTACCCGTTCATTTTAAAAAATATTTATTATTATTATTATTATTATTATTATTATTTTCTGAAAATTCAATAAAAAAATAAAGTTCCGACGCTTGCGTTTTAAATCTGGTGGTGTGCACGATAGGCAGAACCTTGTTCATTTTAGTTGCATTTCTAGCTTATTTATTTTTCTTAAATATAACAAATGTAAATAATAATAATATTGATGATGTTATTGTTACTCTTTGATTTTTAAATGTTTTTATTTTTCTAATGTATGTATCATCAGAGAGAAAGCGTATAGGCCCCCTGAGAGGGGCCACGCTGTCTTTTTTCGTAAGACGCTTTTTCTAGGCTGCACACTAGCGGCGCGTACATCCATTTTACAGCCTGCCTGGAACTACATGGAAATAGGTCTTGCATATAGATGTAATTTATATAAATACAATTTATAACATATAGATATAATTTATATCTATATGCGAGACGTATTTTTATTCAATAAATTGTGGATGTAACACGGACATAAACCAACCATGACTCTTTTACCATCCCGGAAAATGGATGTAACACGGACATGAACCAACCAGGGCTCTTTTACCATTCCGGAAAATGGATGTGGCTATGTAGTTCCAGACAGGCTGTAAAATGGATGTACCCGCCGCTAGTGTATGGCATAAAAAAAGCGTCTTATGCCCTAACTAGACCGGAGAATGATCCTACTTGTGGCTTATCTGAGTGCATAGTTTGACAGGTTAAAATTATATTAAAGTTGACTTCCAATCGTATTAACCATATCAAATAATTTTTTTTATCCAATTAAATCGATTCGGTCGGTCTGTCAAACTATGTACTCGAATGAGCTACAAGTAGGATCATCCTCCAGTCTAGTTAGGGCATTATGAAAAACGGCAGCGTGGCCCCTCTCAGGTTTCTCTCTGATATTACGTATGACCATACGTCGATAAAGTGATTCAGTGAATCAACTTATGTTCTCATCAATGAACTGTTTTACGCTATATGTTGGTAAGACTGATTCTTTGACAGTTAGGTTAGGTTGTACGCAGCTACCATACAGCATGTAAACAAGTTTGTTTATGTGGTAACGGCAAGAACGACGTACGTAAAATGAAAATTATGCGGTAAAGAGGTGTCAGTTATAGATATAAAATTGTTTTTTTCGAGATGTAAATTGCGAATGTAACACAGTAACAGTATTAGCAGATATCGCTATTGTCAGCAAGATGAAATTAACGACGTTGAAAGGCATTTTTCCCGATCCCAGTAAGTAATGTAAATCTTTTATGAAATTGCACGAAAGTTCATGAAAAAATACGTTATTTAATAATGCTACAGATGGAATATAATAATTAATATGTAAATTGATGAGAGCAAAATAATGGAAAATTATACGTGTAAGTTTGTAATTAAACAAAAATTAATAACATGCAAAATGTTTTATATGATGTATATTGTTGCTAGAGCCAGTACGGAGGAAGAACTTCATTCAGGAAAATGTAAAAAATCTTCGACGAATGGAACAATGCTTTCAAGCCAATAAAGAAATAGATGAATTACAAAAATTACAGTTACGCAAGCATTGCAAGGTTACAGATAAGTATCAGAATGTATCTGCAAAAGTGGTCACCAGTTTCAGAGAGAAGAAGAAACATGAGAGCAATAACACTGATCTATTGTCAAAAAATAATATTGATCCAATATCAGCTGACAAATTGAAAAATGAAGAACAAATTCAGACTAATGTGCTTGAATCAGAGCATATACTACATCAGAAAAAGCATGCTACTCCTGTGAAGAAGGTTATTAAATCAGTAAACAATAATACAGATAGACAAAAGAGAACCAACAAGCATAAGAGTCAGCAGAAACTACAGCCAAAGATTCCATCTGAATCAAACATCTTACACAGATCTAACAATATTCAAAATGATGTGGATGGACAGAGTACTGTTAAATATAGAAATCAAGGAATTCAGACTTTGGATACAGATGTAGAAAGTATATACTCTGACGGTGTTATTCGGTAAGTTTGGAGAATATATAAATTTTAGAGAATTAAAAAATATTAATCCTACATTTATACAATTTCTTTATTTATCATTTTTAACAAGATTAATTTATTAACTCTCTGATTAATTATTAATCTGTCAATAACAGAAAACAACGTTATTAATTGTAAAACTATATAAAGACTATATATATTCTTGCTTAACTGGTTTTTGTCAACAGCTACCCCTCAAAATACATTACAAAGCACGATGAAACGGCGAATAATGGCGATTTAAATCGGCAAAAGGAGAAAGCTTCAAAAAAACAATCTGATTCTCCTACAGATAGAGGCGATATGCGTTCTCTTGAAGACACGCAGAAAGTTGACTTACAGAATTCTGTATCACCGGCTAAAGATGAGATCGACTATGTTAAATTGAATAAAGAACGCATCTCTGTTGCTAGCAAGCTGGCGACGCAGCTGAACAATGGTGTACCACCTCCTAATTATCGCAAGGGAGTTGTTCCTAGGTACAACTAACGTTTGTTTTCTGTTTTTTCTGATTTTAAATTATTTGCTTTTTCTATTATCTTCTCTATTTCTTGATTAAGTTTTATATTGTAATACTTTAAAAATATTTTGCTCAACTACACTATGAGATCGATAGTTTTTCTCATTTTTTAATATAAACATGATAAAATATAGCGGATATAGGGCCACTTTTTCCAACGTCAGTTAACATTAACCGACGATTTCAATTGGTTAATAGAATTGCTAACATGAAGAGAATAAAATATCTTCATTAAAGGTGACAAAAATTTTAAACTTTTTCTTTTTTGATGACCATATTTCATTCATGTTAGCAATTCTATTTATGTTAACAAATTAAAATCGTCGGTTAACGTTAACCGATGTTGGAAAAAATGGCCCGTAGTAAAACAGCGAAATGTGAGTGCTTGTATAATTATCGAAAATTAAATATTGGTTTCACTGATGTAAAAATTAATGAATCAGATGACAAATGAATGTAATTAATTAAATATTTTTATAACAATTTTTCGAATAGATATCTTCGAGAAAGGAAAGAAGCGCAGGAAAAGGAACAAAAGGCCAGAGCGGAAGCACTTAATGTTGATTGTCCAGAAGGTCACGTATCCTTACCTGATAATGAACGTAAGGAAACGTTGCGACTATTAAAAAAAAGTGCGTATCTCGTAAACAAAATTTGATTTAATCATGTTATTTCTTTTAAAAGTTAATATTTAATTTAATTAATTCAACAATGTGCCTTTGATGCAGATTATCAAGATTATGTCAACGAATTAAATATGATGCCTATAAAAACGGATACTCTCAGGGCACAAAGGCGCAAGATGGAAATAGAGAAGCAATTGAATAAGCTGGAAGAAGGAATCAAAGTATTCTCGCGTCCTAAAGTTTATGTGAAAATAAATGCATAGATTGCATTGTCTCAAGCAGAATGTGACATGAATCTTTAGAGATATTTACTGTCCATGTTTCAATGCATCATGCATTGTTTCAAGGATCCAATATAACGTACGCGATTGAACTATTTCATTGTTGTAAAATGACGTGAATTAGCTGTACATATTTTTATGTGTGAAAAATTGACTAGTTGAGTCTATTTTTAATGCCTAGCATCTAGAGAGGTTCTACGAACGAAGAAAAATACACCAAACTATTTTCTTATAAAAATTCACACACTTTGGATTTTGTTGACAATTTTGTAGATAGAAGCATGATTGATTACAAATATAATAAATGATATTTTATTTAATAAATTAATAGTGAAGCTATATGTCATTATTTTTTAACCGGCTTATTTCGCATTTCTACAAAATTTTTGTCAATGGTATGCACAAAAGATATTGGATCAAAATGCAGTCTTCCTAAGTTATAAAATATCTCTTCATTGTTGTACCACTTCTTTATATTGAACTCTTTAAAGAATATTGCTATCTCTCTTTCTGCAGATTCTGTCGAATCTAAAGTGAATGATATTAGTGTCCTTTTCTTTACAAATTTTTTCATTCAATTAAATATTTTTGATATTTTGATATTTATTACCAGATCCATGTGCAGCATTCCTAGTATCCGATAAACCAAACATTCCTCTAATGGTATCTGGCGCATTGTATTGTGCTTGATAAACTTTAGTAGGGCCCATTAACTGTCGCCACTTAACAACAGCGTCGTGTTCTGCCAGAATGTAAATATCAGACGGACCACTGCACATGAAAGTCATCAAGCGATTGTAGAAGAACTTGTCTTTGTGCTCCCTGTAAAATAACTCGACCTCCTCGCGAGATATCGTCGTTCTACGTGATTTAACAACTTTGAAGTTATTGTCGATTATTATATCACGAATCTTCTGAAAACTCAAGACAAGTTTCTGTCATAATTTCTCAAATCTGGACATTTTTAAATTGAATTTTTCATATTCTGTAGAATTCAACTTGCATTGTGTTCCTTAAAATGAGGTTAAGTTCGTACCTGAAGAGCGAAGGGAGATTTAACGATGTGTGGCTTGAGTATTGCCAATGTCAACTGGAGATATTTTTTCGATTGCATATCAACATCATTTCGATCATTTAAAAATTTTAGGAGCAGCGCGATATCATCGCGCGTGCAATCAATACAGGGACGCGACTACCACGTGTCTGACATAACGTGTTTCCGAAAAACACCGTACGTCGCGCTCATTCACAATCGAAGTGGAAATGCTCAATGTGTTTGACCATATAGCGACTTCTTACTACTGTTACAAATTTCTGAGAGAGAATCCTTTAGATATTAATATCTAATTATAAACCATTTGTAAGTTGTATATTTAATTTCTTTTTTAATTCTTTTTGCAACAAATATCGTAAATCTTTCGTTCACTATTTAATTGTTTTTTATTTGAATATCACAATGCTTTATATTATTTTTATTTGCTCAAAATATTACACTAATTACTACTGTTTTATTTTACAGATTAACTATAAATTCTGTTTTAACAGAGATGTGATATTAAAACTGAATAATATTGAAGTAAGGAAAACTTCGATATTTTGAACATTGTACATTACCATTCCTAGATGCGATCAAAGAGACAACAAGACGAGGAAATACACGAGGAGAGACACAAGTACGTATATTCTCTTACACCTGTTATATTAAAATATTTTCTATTTGTAATTATTTTAATTATTAATTAGTAAAACAAAATAAAATGGAAAGAAAAACGCTGTAAAGCAGTTAAATAGGAAACAATACGTAATGCTGCCAAGTTGCATTGGTAAAAGCCAGCCACTATCCTCCCGCAAACCCCTTTCGTCCGCGACCCACCCCTTGTCAGACGTATCTACAATTGCTGATCTTACTTCCCTTTCTCTCCTGTTGCTCGTCCTGTCATCCCTTCCTTCATTGCTTGCATCTTCCTGTCTCTTTCTCCCCTTTCCGTTTCTGGTATCCTCCGCGATACCGGGAGAGAGCCATTCGAAGTACAATGGCTGGCTATAAATTACCTTGGAAACGCTAGCATTAGATCCTGCCGGATTCACCCTTTATACAAAGCCGCCGCTCACGAGAGAGAAAGGGCTTAATTGAGCGACCTCGATATAGGAATCGCGATACGAATCGCTGTTCGAGTCGTGTCCTCGTGCTCGTGTTAGCAAGGAGGCTTGTTTATGCTTTCGAATAAGCCGAATCTAATTTAGTCATGAAAAAGAAAATTTCTTTGTTGTGAAAAGAATAGAGAAAAGTAGAAACTCATCATAGAGAATTTAATTGAATTCATGATTTTGCATACCGTATTTTATTCTTTTTGTTTGTATCTCATTATAGAGAATACTTAGAGGCGGCGAAATATTAACTGTTAATGAAACTCTACCTTACAAATATTTTCTAAAATCAGATAAAGTTTTTAATTGCATCTTTTCACGGTCTTTTGATTATGTGTCATTTTTTTTTCTTTTTTTACAAATATAATTTAAACGTGGGTTGAGATATAAAAGATCTAAAGAAAACTTTAGAGTTTATAGAATACAGAAACTTTGGTACTAGAAATGTGATTTTATTCTAGTTGTGGAAAATTTAATTAAATTGCAATCTTTTAATACATGAAAAAAGTAAAAGAGCAATAGCTAAAACTTTACGAATCCTTTTTCATATTCCTGCAATTGGATTTATTTATTTCGCAACATTCTGTATATCGATGTCGCAAATTTATCATCACGATAGCATTCATCGAGAAAAAATCTTGCGCCTTTCGAATTGATTTATCGCAACTAATTCCTGTCTGAATGGTAATCGCATGTCGCGCCCGTTCTGCGGTCGGTCTCGTCGTTAAATTCATATACACATACACGCGTGTGCACACATCCAGGTAGCGAACGTAACGAGAACGAGCGAGCGAGTGACAAATTACGAATAAAATATTGATTCACCCGCTGCGTTGTGCCGCCGGTTTGTCGGCACGAGCGTTACGCCGAATTAATGTACCAGCGTATAATTGCACTACCGTTTGTATTAATTACCTGTTCGCGAACTGCGTCAATCTCGAATTGCAATAGCACGGTCGTATCTCGGTTATTCAAACAGACTGCATCCGCCGTAGCAGTCCTCGTTATAGCTTCTTTTAGCAAAGAATACGTCAATTTCGTTAAAAAAAAAAAAAAAAAAAATTGGTTGTTTGCTAGAAAATATAAAAAATAAATAAAACAATGATTTTAATAAAGAAATCAATGCTTTGATGGGTAAAATCATTGATTCAATTTAAATACGAATCTCTTAGATGTAAACGTGCAAATGAAACTTGAAAAGAGCAGATTAAACAAATCGCCTGTCACGTTATCGCCGCGGTTATCACCGGTGCTCATGACGTATTGTCGGATTATCCGGCTCGTTGACCGTGTAGCTGTAGTGGCGGACGGATGATTCACTGAATAAAAGAATACAAATGAGATTGCGGAAAGTTTCAAATCGAATTCCAGTCGGAGTTTTACGAGCGGATTGTCCATAAAAGCGGCGAGTCGTGTTTCGTGTTTTCTCAAACCCCTTTTCTCCTGTTTGGACCAATTCTAGGTCGCTTTGGGCTCACCTCTCTCTTTTCAGCTACCTCTTATTTTCAAACTCCCTTTTCCTGCGATTGTACGACGGCAAACGACAACAAACGGCTTCTTTCGGCTTCTCAGAAAAACAACTTTAATCGCCTCCACCTTGTGCAGCTTGGCGCTTGTTACCGAAAAGCGGGGGATTTTCGTCGTTGAAGGGAAAAAGTGATGATTGTGTTGGCAGAGTAAAGCGTAGCAAGCGGGGAAATAACTCGAAATGAATACAAAATCGATAAATATAAAGTCGATAAAATATACGAACTTCAAAAAAGTTTGGCGAATGAGGTAGTGGCGGTAAAAAATCGATCTCTCGCTCTCTCTTTGAATCTATAGAATAGATCTATGAATAAGATAAATTTACGAGAAATTCCTTCCGTGTAAAAAATTCAGACGTGAGCCGTCTAAAAAATTGACCTCCCTTTAATAAGTATATTAAAAAAAATCACACAGTTTGCTTTTACATCAGAAATGCGCGCAAATATTTATTTTGCGATAGGAAACGAGTGGGTGAGGAGTCAAAAGTTAACGGAGAAATGCCAGCGATCTCCTTAAGAAGTTTATCTACGGACGAATCTTTGGTAACTTTAACCGTGAACTTTCGCCAAAATGTTTTCCCGCAGCTGCGAGAAACTATTCTCCGAGTATTTTTGAATAGTCCGGAAAATTACCAGCAATCAGCTGAATATTACTTTTTATTGAGACTCTGTGTGATATGTGCAATTTTAGCGGATGCGTAAATGCAAAATCTGCAATAAATAATCCGCGCTCTGTGCACATTTCATTACAATTTGTACAAAACAATAAAAATATAAAAAATAGTAATCTAATGGAGAAATTTGTCTAATAGACAAAAGAAAAAATATAGAAAAGATAATTATTCGTAGAATAATAAAATCGTATAAATATAATTTTGTAATATATAAAAAATAGTAATACACATGCAACAGAAAAATGTTTTTACAGATAATAAAAAGTTTAATATGAAACTTCTGTTCGTCTAGATCACTCTGTATTTATCATGTATCGCTCTTTTGCGACGTAAACTCTCAGTTTCAGTGATTAATATCAATGATAGGCGTTAGAACTGTTTTTTCGTATCGGAATGCGAACAATAAGTTATGCGAGATATCGTACGAAGGGTGCGGAGAAATCAGGAACAAGCCGGGAAGACTTA